CCCCCCCCCCCCCAATAAGGAGCCTAGCCCTCCAAGGAATTGGAGAACCGTGCCAGGTTTGCAAGCTATACTGGAGCAGAATACTAATATGTAGCCCCCACACACACCTCCAATCGCTAGTACTTATTAATTCTGCACTTCTTCCAAAGGACCTCTGTTCTCCCTTCCCTGTTTTCTTTTCACAACAACTCTGTAAAGTAGGTTAGGCTGAGAGAGAAACAGTCAGCTGCAAAGCTTCATGGCCGCATGAGGATTTGAGCTCAGGCATGCCAGGTTGTAGTCGGACAGTCTGCATCACACACTTGCAGTTTTCAAGGACAACGACCCTGTAGAGTAGGACCAGTGTTCTAAACTGAGTAGCCCTCACTAGCCCGGCTGCACTTAATACTCTGATGAGAGATCACTAAGAAGACCAGGGTTGCTAGGAGAAGAAGAGATTGGATTTATGCCCCACCCTTCACTTGGAGTCTCAGAGCGGCTTACAAACTCCTTTCCCTTCCCCTCCCCACAACAGACACCCTGTGAGGTGGGTGGGGCTGAGAGAACTCTGACACACAAACTGCTCTTTCAGGAACAGCTGTGCCAGGGCTTGTGACTGACCCAAGGTCACATCAGCAGGTGCAAGTGGAGGAGTGGGGAATCAAACCCGGTTCTCCCAGTTTAGAGTCCGCACACTTAACCACGACACCAAACTGGCTCTCCACCACCTCTGCTGATCTCTTGCCTTGAAAATCCCAGGGTCCAACTCCTGGAGACGCCATGAGTCGGTTACAGTTTGAGAGCACGCAATTGTTATTATTGGAGACTGGGCATGGTACTGAGGGCCAAACACAGGCATGATCACATGTGTTTCCCCATGTGTAATTTTCTCAGGGAAAAAACTGGATCAGGGCCTTGTCTCTGAGGAAGGGAGGGTTAGTCGTTTCCTTCTCGCTTCTGCAGTTTCCCCTGTTGAAAAGGATTCCGCTGGGCCTGCTGAGGAGAAAGAGGCAGCCCCAATTTTGACTTTGTTGTTTCCAGCACTTGAGAGTCCTAAAGCAGCCGGGGAGGGGGGTATTTTCAACTGGGAAAAGGGCACAGGGAGGAGTTAACACATTACTATGACTCCTGGCTGCCCCACCCTGCCCTAGCTGCTTTGGGGCCTAAATGGCATGCCGGATCCCCAATGTGACATAGGCCTTGGCCCGGAGACCAACATTGCTTAAGAAGCACGCAGGTGTGAGTCAGTGCTTTGACCGGAGACAGGATTCAAGACAGGAGAGCAGCAATACTCACAGTTCAGTGTCCCTTTCAAATCATACAAAGTGTTCTAAAATGACTACAGGTGTCGAACTCATTTGTTACGAGGGCCGGATCTGACATAAAGGTCACTTTGTCGGGCTGGGCTATGTGTGTTATAAAACGTATATATACTTTATAAACTTTATAAAGATTATTTCAGATGGTGAATGGCAATAGCAGGTGTGATTGGATTTGGCATGATATGCAGATGGATGGCGATATTAACACTGGTGTGTTACACAGAGGGGTGGAGATATCAGCATTGGTAATGAGACAGGAAACCTAGGTCTCAATTTGGTACAGGAGGGTTCAGTCCGGGAGGATGCAAAGAATAAATGGAAATAAGTCTGAAGAAGTGAGCAGTGACTCACAGAAGCATATACCCTACCACAATTTTGTTAGTCTTTAAAGGTGCTACTGGACTCTTACTCTTTCTACTAGTATTAGAAAGCACAACATTCAAAAACCAGTGGGGGGGACATTTTAACCTTCTAGGGATCCAGGGCATTCGGTCGCTGACCTGAGTAGCAGTTCTCTTACAAAGGAATTTCAAAGGGAGATTAGAAAGAGAGACTGCTGAATTCCAACTGATCACGAAGCTCAAGACAATGCAAACTACTGGACTGAATTGAGACCTAGGTTTCCTCTCTCATTATCAGTGCCTGCTATTATCTTTTGGTGTATGGAATCACTTCACTCTCTCCCAAGTTATAAGGACAGATGGACTTACATGCCAGCTGTATCTGAAGAAGTGAGCAGTGATTTCATGAAAGCTCAAGCCCTACCACAAATTTTGTTCATCGTTAAGGAGCTGCTATACTCCTCCTCCCTTTCACTAATAAGGAATGCAAGCTGTGCATTTCCTCCCCCCCCATCTGTTAGAAATTGAAAGGGGGATCTCTCCAAGTGCCATGGGGCTCTCCCCCAGCATTCTCTCTCTGGCTCTTTC